ATAATTATTTAAGAATGTAATTATGTAAGAATGTTAACACTCTGTTATAATTTTTTAGTATATCGTGTGGTGTAGAAGACAATTATTTATGTAGAGATACTGCTTGCAAACCAATGATGGTAAGATGATGTCATGGGGTAGGACTGGATAAGTCTGACTTCTTCCTACTCCATTCAAGCATGTACTAGGTATAAGCAAATTGATATTGGATTATGTGTAAAATTATGTGTGTTGTCATATCAACTGTCTTTACATGCTTGAAAGAATAAATCAAATCAAATCAAAAATCAAATCTGACTCTGGTACAGCGGCTCTCAATGTGTACGTACATACAGTATCATGCCTAACACTACTTAAATCCACTAATGCCTATCACCAGTCAGCAATATATTACTGTATTTCATCAGGTTTACCTCCTACCTGTATCATAGTGCCACTGAAGCTGATATTGTATACCTAAAAATACAAAGCTCAGAAAAAATTTAACCACAGGCTATTCATTAGCTGATTCTCTCACCCTATAATGATCTTTATATTAAAACAACTCCACCCCGAATCACACCATCCTGTAAGTCTGAAACTATCACTTCTCACTCTTACCCAGGTGGGAACCAGTCACTAATAAACATATTAACCCAATTAGCTGCAGCTTCCGGCATGGCGCTGACATCACTACCCCACAAAGTGGCGCTAAGAGTGTTGTGCTGCTAACCATTGCTGGGAGTCAGCCCCATAATGTGCATCAAAGAAACTTTGGGAAAATACCGTATGCTTTCTCATGGTCAACTTTCCATTTTTCTGTCATCTTCAATTTTATCTCTATTGTCCCCATGAGTTAATTTAACTTTCAACCAAATGAAACCACATCACGTACACAGACTTAAATATGAAACATGCATAAAACACTATGTTTTTAGGAAGACGACAGCTACTGTAACAAGCTGAGCTAAGTTAGGCTGAACATAATCTGGCCCAAATGATGGCTGTGCTAGAGAAGCCAGCAATGAAATTTAAATTGATTTTCTCATGTTACCCTGGATCTGACTGCAAACAACAGGCAAGTATTTCTGTCTTCACTCATACATCCACTTAAAGCATATCAGTAGCAGTGACATGAGACAGTTTACTGTTCTAGTATCTCTGTAAGGGTAATTTAATGCACTTATAAAGCAACAGTCATTAACTAATACTCTCAGTAACAAAACAACACCTCTCCATTCCCCCTACACTTCTCAGCCTCTTATTCCCTCTCCAAAAAGTGCGGTACAAAATACTTCATCCTCCAAGTTCCCCTTTTTCTCCTTCATTCTCATACTGTAAGTTTAACAAACTTTCCAGAAATGTACAAATTCCAAAATCACTGCAAGCATTTTGGAGCACGTTTCCTGTTGCTGGTGTTCTTGCTGCTACGTGAATCACCAACAGATGGCAGCATTGGACTATATGTTGGCATTGGCTGAACTACTCTGAATCACAACAGCCCACTGTATTAGATTGTAAACAGTGTTACCATACCCCATAGCAAATCAAATGAACATTGAACAGAAAGAACAGTACAGCAGAAACTAGAAGTCTTAGTGATATGTCTGCTGGAAAACAACTTAATTGCTATTAAATCAGACAAAAATTTAAATAACAGCCTCCTAACTCTCCTATTCATACCTGTACATTATGAAGAGAATTTCACAGTGACGCATTCTTACAAATTGCAGCAACAGGCTAAGTGAGTAATAAAAATTTCCACCCTCCATTGATTTATTTTGCAACATTACAATTCAAGACACAACCACGGGGAGGAGCAGGTGTAAATAATTAAGATGAATGTAAGTATGAAAAGTGTTTCCCCACTGCTGCAAATCAAATCCAACTGATTGCTTCTATAATTCATTAAAATCTCCATAGGCTTGTGTTTCTGCATGTGAATCTGTTGTCTGCTTTGTTTTTCATGTGTGAATGCACAAGCTACAAAGTCCCTTTATGTGTCTCTGCATATTTCTCCATATTGACTCAGTTTTGTGTGTGTGTAATTTATTTTCCATACATAGTGAAATCCATGAAATCTTCATGGCCCTGGAATGTTCTTCCTGCCAGCTGTATGCCCTACTAAACTCAAGACACTTCACTGTGTGTGTGTTCCCTACTGCGCATCTGCGTGCTTGCTCTCTTATTTGTGTTTTGTGCATGCACACGCATGGTGTGTGCCCTTGAAGTCCCTCTGTATCTGAATTGTTGATTGTTTCCATGCATGAGTACATCTGCAGGAGAACCTCTCCTCTTTATCTCCACCCACACATGCCAACTAACAGGGTCTCCCTGGACTGCACATACAATAGACATAATTATTTCATGTTAAGTGTTGCCCTGTACCTTCCAGCTGATTAAAATGGCACTGTAAAATGCTATGATGGTATTTTCAAGGTCAGATACATGGGGGTTTAAACTTAACAGATGCTGAACATTTACTAAGTGACTAGCTTTGTTCATAGTTAAAGGACTCATTTTATTATCAAAGGGAAAATGTTATGTTTTCAGACAGATCATTAAACTTTCTTTGAATCCAAAATAACAAAGGCACTCTAGAAATTTCTTGGTGCTGCTTTATATGTAGAACTCTTTCATTTAAGCCAACTCAAGGTCAGATGAAGATATTGGTTTGTGAGTGCTCACCTAGCTGGAATTGGCTCCGATCACCTGTTTGACGTTGAAGGTCACCAGTTAGATGATCACTGTGTCTGCTAGTTCACTCTCCACTCTCTCTGGCTCTCCCAGTACCTGTATATGTTTTTAAAAAACACTCACAAATTCATATGGGTTATCATGACTGTAAATACGTCATCTTTAAAATACTTGTATGTACATGTAACCATGTGCTTGTGCTTATACAGTACACGTGTACATACTTCTGTTTCTAAAATCTGTGAATTTATGGTTGTTCTCTGTTGTGTGTGTCTGTGCACATTTCAACATTCAACATTGTAACATTCTTGTATTTCTGATAGTGTATGCTGTACACACACACAGCTTCCCACACGGGTAAGACAGCAGGTTGTGGTCTTCGACTTCATCAGTGTGAAAGGTCCACTTACAGTAGCCTACTTAGACCACTTGAGACATAATATGCTCATTTCATTTAGTCCTGAGAGTCTCTTGAATTATTGACTGAACTACTGGGCATACAGTACTTGATCACAGATTGTGGGTTGTGTGGATGTTCATGTATGTATGTATGTGTGTGTGTGTGTGTATTTAATCACTGTATCTTACCCACATAACTCTTATAAGCCTACAACATTTAGTCAAATGTCAGTTTAATTTTCAAACAACCTTTTTATGGAAGAGGATGTCTTCACAGTTAGATCCAATCTGGAAACCAGATTATTTCCTGAAATTGTGTCAGCACACTGAAGGTGTGTGTGTGTTTGGCAGTGGACCTGAAGGATTGGGTGGTGCATGGCTGGAGAGGGACACTAGGAT